CAGCTCAGCTCAGCTGCAGGCGGTAAGTCCTGATTTCCATGGGTTTAAGGCTGATCTCCTGGGGGTCGGCATCACTATTGTGTGTGTGCATCAGAGACAGCGATACAGGTGTGATGCTTTTCACCTTCAAATCTGTCAGGAGCTTCTCTAAATGAATCTACACACGCACAGTAGAACACAGTATGGTGATTAGAGCATTTACAACACAACATGTTCAAGTATGCATTGAGTCACGGCTTCAGCTTTGACTTTTCACTTGTAAGAAGTGAGATGGTTATCATATCTGACAGTCTGACAGCTTTAAGCTAAGCCTGTGAACTCAGTGGAAAGTAAACAACTTTCATTTTCTTATGAGACTTTTTCTGTAAATAGCTAATTTACATAAACATCTTATAGGTGATGTATCATTTTTTAAAAGTTTCTTCTGTCTCATGTTAATATGCAGAGCAACTATCAAGTTGGTTGATTTCCAAGAGTAGAGTGCAGCACTGTGACTCTGTGGCAGGGATGGGCAAACTCTGTCCTGCAGAGTCTTCTAGTAATCCTGATTACATTACCGGTAATTAGCTTGTTCAGGTGTGTTTGACTAGGGTTAGGGCTCAACTCTGTAGGACAGTGGCCTCCAGGTCCAAGTTTGCCCTTCCCTGCTCTATGGCATTAAGACTTTGTTTGTTTTGAGTATCTGACCAGGGGTGCGTATTACGGATGTTCATTTTAACCGATTAACCGTTAACCGACCGAAAGAATTTTTGACCGATTAATACAATAAGTGAAACGGTTTAAAAAGTCATTTATTTATTTATTTTTTCAGTAATTTATCAAAATATTTAAAAAGGTTTGCTGCATGGTTAAAATACGCTACGCGTATATAAATAATAGCGTTTTTTTAGAGAGAAAAAACGCAAGTCGCATTTTATGATTTCATTCAGAAATAGGCCTAATTCCGATGCGAAATGTTTACAAACATTATAATAAACACTGTAAACATAGCAAGGCTATTTTAGTTCCCCTCACTCCACAACAAATCCTTTCTATTATAACAGTATTTAGAAAAGAACAAGAATTAAAAATATAAGAAGCAATAGCAATATAATCGACAAGCCAAAACAAATTCATTTAGGCTAAAACGAAACTGAAACCAACGTTGGGTCTCTCATTCCACACAAAATCAAATGTTTCCGTATTCGTGATGTAGGCCTATTTGAATGACAAAATATAATTTATTATGTAGCCTACTTCTCTCGCGTTTCAATATCCACGTAAAACAAAATGTTTTGCATAACATCACGGTGGTACGGTGATAAAACTTAACGGCACAGATTTGACTACATATTTAAACTGAGCACTTGTTGCACAGTTTTTCTTTCGTTTTCTTAATTTATTATTTAAGCAAAAATATATTTCTCATATAGGCCTATTTATTCGTTTTATATATATATAGCCTAGCTTTATTATGTTTTTCTCCGCTCGCAGAAGCGCTGCAGGTGCGGGATGTGATATGATGAGCATGTGAATCCTCATGTTCTGTTGTTTGCTGCTTTTTTGCGCATGTAAAATTAATCCCCGGGAAACAAATGTTAGTATTTTTAATGGGTCACAGACACTTATCCTTTCTAATTTAATTCAATTCTAATTTAAAATAATCTTGTCGGTTAACGGTTAATAATCGGTTAACGAGCGTCGGTTGTCGGTTAGGAAAAATAACCGAAATGAACATCCCTATACAACAGTGTAATTCACTGCTTAACCACCATAGTGCAATGCATTGCATTAATTAACTAGCAAATCACAATTTTTTTGCTGAAATGTTTTTTATTTTAAATATACCATTGTAGTATTTATTAATAATTTTGAATTTGCTTTTATTTTATTTTAGTTCAAGTTTTAGTAATTGTGTTATGTGCTTACAGGTGCATCTCAATAAATTAGAATGTCGTGGAAAAGTTCATTTATTTCAGTAATTCAACTCAAATTGTGAAACTCGTGTATTAAATAAATTAATTGCACACAGACTGAAGTAGTTTAAGTCTTTGGTTCTTTTAATTGTGATGATTTTGGCTCACATTTAACAAAAACCCACCAACTCACTATCTCAACAAATTAGAATACTCCATAAGACCAATAAAAAAAACATTTCTAGTGAATTGTTGGCCTTCTGGAAAGTATGTTAATTTACTGTACATGTACTCAATACTTGGTAGGGGCTCCATTTGCTTTAATTACTGCCTCAATTCAGCGTGGCATGGAGGTGATCAGTTTGTGGCACTACTGAGGTGGTATGGAAGCCCAGGTTTCTTTGACAGTGGCCTTCAGCTCATCTACATTTTTTGGTCTCTTGTTTCTCATTTTCCTCTTGACAATACCCCATAGATTCTCTATGGGGTTCAGGTCTGGTGAGTTTGCTGGCCAGTCAAGCACACCAACACCATGGTCATTTAACCAACTTTTGGTGCTTTTGGCAGTGTGAGCAGGTGCCAAATCCTGCTGGAAAATGAAATCAGCATCTTCAAAAAGCTGATCAGCAGAAGGAAGCATGAAGTGCTCCAAAATGTCTTGGTAAACGGGTGCAGTGACGTTGGTTTTCAAAAAAACACAATGGACCAACACCAGCAGATGACATTGCACCCCAAATCATCACAGACTGTGGAAACTTAACACTGGACTTCAAGCAACTTGGGCTATGAGCTTCTCCACCCTTCCTCCAGACTCTAGGACCTTGGTTTCCAAATGAAATACAAAACTTGCTCTCATCTGAAAAAAGGACTTTGGACCACTGGGCAACAGTCCAGTTCTTCTTCTCCTTAGCCCAGGTAAGACGCCTCTGACGTTGTCTGTGGTTCAGGAGTGGCTTAACAAGAGGAATACGACAACTGTAGCCAAATTCCTTGACACGTCTGTGTGTGGTGGCTCTTGATGCCTTGACCCCAGCCTCAGTCCATTCCTTGTGAAGTTCACTCAAATTCTTGAATCGATTTTGCTTGACAATCCTCATAAGGCTGCGGTTCTCTCAGTTGGTTGTGCATCTTTTTCTTCCACACCTTTTCCTTCCACTCAACTTTCTGTTAACATATTCTAATTTGTTGGGATAGTGAATTGGTGGGTTTTTGTTAAATGTGAGCCAAAATCATCACAATTAAAAGAACCAAAGACTTAAACTACTTCAGTCTGTGTGCATTGAATTTATTTAATACACGAGTTTCACAATTTGAGTTGAATTACTGAAATAAATGAACTTTTCCACGACATTCTAATTTATTGAGATGCACCTGTATGTCATTTGAATTTGAATGCATAGGCACCTCGTTATTGTTAATTTTCTTATTCTTCGCTCTCGAGTCTATGGCACCTCATAGAACCACTTGTGGGAAAGTAATGAAATATGGCACACAGGACAGTCTGAACATTAACCACAGCAAATTTGGAGTCTCTAACGCAATTCCTCTAGCGCCACCAACCGTCCAAATCTTTTTTTCTGAAATTCTCTCTCTCTGAATCCTTGGCTCAAGACATCGATTCAGTCACTTTGAATTTTCCAACTTACAATTTTCACTTCACCTTTAAATCATTAGATTATAAAACCGATAGTTCTGATTCTGAAATCTGATTGGATGAACTGTGTTCCAAGGCTTGGTAAAATAACCAGTATAAACTGATTTAAAACCCTTTTAAAAATAACAGATATAAAAAAAAAACACACACAAAAGCACCAAACAGTAGCCCATTGGTGTTTCTAAACCCATATGATAGCTTGTTAATTATTGAAATATTTTTCCATCCACCCTAGCTCCTTGGTGAGCTCATGAGAATTTATTAATAAAGTAGCGATATCTAATTTGTCTTTTAAGTTAAGTTTTTCAATAAATCAGTTAACACAAAAACACAAAACTGGTCTAAATGATAAGTCCTCAAGTTCAAAACAGTGACTTAATATTTCAATAGCGGTGGTTCTTATTAGGTTACTTCCCTGTTTGCCTGAAGATTACAGGTAAGGTTAAGTTTCTTGCACCCACAGATCATTTCGCTTCATAAGACCTCAATATACCATCAGAGCCACAGGTATTCATTTGTGACAGTAGCCATTGACTTTATGAATTTTTATGAATCACCATTTTATTTTTTTTATTTTATTACCATTTTATAAATCACCAAGGACCACGGTTTCACCTAAAAATCTTCTTTAAAGAAGAAAAAGTCACCTACATCTCGGATGGCCTGAAGATGAGTAAATTAACAGCAAATTTTCATTTTTAGGTGAACTATCCTTTTAACAGTTCACTGGAGGGGAAAATATTGGGTTTCTTACCCAAAACTACGGCATGACTTCAGAAGACTAATGCTCTTATATCACTTTTATGGTACTTTTGTGTCCTTTTTTAAGCTTGAACGCTCCAGTGCCTTATCATTGTAATTGGATAGAAAAATTGACCAGAAAGTTCTCCCTATTGTGTTCTATGGAATATGAGTTTTGTGTTAAAAAGAGATGTTCATTTTTGCATGAACTATCCTTTTGGGAGCAAATGTACAATCTTTTTATATATATATATATATATATATAAGCCTCAAGGTCTTCCAAAACTTAGTAGCAGTGATAAGACCCTCTCTAAATTAGTGAAGTGTGTGTGTGTGTGTGTGTGGGAAGCCGTGTGATCTGCTTTACCTTGCCACGTGTGGTGGTACACAGTAGGCCAGTGTTCCGATTGGAGAAGCCACAGTCAAAGCCTTTTCTGTGCAGTATCAAAGCAGCTTGCTCGGATGGACCTCCCCCTTCCTCCTGCGAGAGAAGCGAGACAGAGCCTCAGGCCGCATAAACACAACACTGTTTCTTCTCCACACGCACCCACTTTCACTCATCAGCTGCAGCTCAACACCACAGTCAGAGTCTCTCCCATCCCAACACCATGGAAAGAGCTTCTCCTCAAGACTTCAGAAAACAAAGGAACTTGAAGCAATCCTGCTGCTTCGAAATAACTTGAGCTTTATTGATAGCATGTGACAGGCTGCCGATTTTGCACTGAAAATAATTTTGACATATCCATAGGTTTGTCAAATCAAACAAAGTTTGCATTTACAATAATGCACTTACAATGGATTGATGGGGCAAGGCATTCTTTTGGTAAAAAGAAGAAATGAATTTTCACTTATTTCTAATGAAGCGCACTCATTAGATCTTCTGGACAGAAATGAGCTGTAGTTGTGCAAACCTGGACTTCTCTAAAGTCGTATAGAGAATTATGCATTGATGTAATTTGGCTGAGTTTCTGGTATCCTTTGCACGTATCGCATCACAGTTACAGCATTTACGAACTTATCATGCTCATAAGCATACAGTTCAAATACTGGATTAAAACTAGTGATTAATTCTTTACCAATCCACCACACCAAAATGAAATTTTTCATTTAGCAGAAAACAGAAAAAATATATATACTTAATCAAAAAAAATATCAAATAGAGTTGTATATAAAAATGTAAATTGCAGTGAAGGATACCCAGACAGGACTGTGACGGAAACGTGGGTGGGCGCTTCTCCACTGCACCTGCTGAGGCAGCCCATCCAACACCAACATCAGACCCTCTGACTGAGCCTGAGAGAGAGAGAGAGACACTCATTCAGTCGTACTGTGGTTAAACAGTGCAGCTGAACTTCTCTCAGGATTCACTTACATGAACAGGTTTGGAGAAGGCGACAGACACCCTCTGTCTCTCCCGGCTGACATACACACAACTGATCATCTCCTCTCGCTCCGCTACACACACACACACACACACATACATACAGCATGGGGTGAGCATACGTGTCTTCACAAATACCAGAAAAATATTTACACACACACACACCTCTGCCCAGCCGAATCTCTCATCACTGTAAACCTGGAGCACTAGATTAACAACAGAAATAGTAAATCACTCTGCACAGTCCATAAAGCTCTCACAACTGAGATTGGTCAGTTTTTTTGGTCGTGCAAAAAAATAATGAAATGTAATCAATGTCTTCCATGCTTGAAAAACACTTTCCATTTGCATAAAGGGTGTCCTTGAGTGGATATTTCCACGGCAAGCAACAAAGGAACGCTCAGGCATTGTTAAACGATTTTATTCTATTTCAGTGCCCCAAAAGCTCTTACTATCTTGTCAATCATGTTAATTAATAATTACATATATCGGGAGTGAATTCAGCCTCCCAGTTCAGCAGTTAAAGGGAGTTTTTTTGGCTTTCTGATGGTCTGTAACTAACACTCATATCATTGCTCAATCAAAACAAATTTGGGAAAGTATAGAGGTCAGATTCCTCAGACTCGAAATTAATTCTGATACACCTTAATGTCAAAACTAAATTTGAGTGGCCATGAATGTAGTCAATAAGTGTGAGAGAAACAAAGCCCAACGTTTTAACAGCTCTGTTCCACACCCTAGTCAACTGTCTACCTAGACAGCATTTATAAGCATTCTAAACATAAAAGCTTGCTCTAAAAAAATGGCAAAATTACACTTTTTTTAATAACATTATGTTGGCCAAATTCTAAAATAGCAATTGACGTATCCTCTGTGGATAAGGCAATCCCAGAATGTAAGCTGAATGTAAGCATATTATTTGTTAGCTTAGCAACATGTTAACATCAAATCCTTTTGGAATGAAATGCGCACTCCTTGCGATTAGCGCACTGCTATGGTGTGCCCTTGAAAAAAATGGTACACTTCAGCATACTTTTAAAAAGAGCACTTATTAAGGATAATAGAATCTACTTCAGTGTGAACTGAATGTACTGTTTTCGGACACTTAACTGCATGTTAATTGCAATTAAATGAAAATGTAATATCATTTCATTTGCTAAGAAATGCATTTAACTGAACTTTAGATTGCTTTTTGACCCACTTAGGTACATCTTTATATGTAATTTCAGAATTACTTTTACTAAATTTGAAATATGGTTAAAGTGTACTGCTATATGTACTGACAAGCATGGTAAAGTATTTTTTATCACATAATGTCATATAATAATGTCATATACTGTATAATAGAATTCTATTGAAACTTGCAAGTCGTGTATTTAAATAGATTTGTTATTATACCTTTGCAATGATGTTTAGCACATTTGAAATATATCAATTTTAAATGTAATATCGAATAACACTGCAGTTAAAATTATAATTAATAACTTTACATATGCTTTAGTATGTTAGCCAACACATCAAAATAAATTGAAAAGTACAACAAATTATTAAATGTAATGATATAAAACTTGAAATGAAAGTGTTCCCTCTTTAAATACACTTAAGTGGTCTTTTATGTCCTTACAGCACAGTTCTTTTACAGATATACTTTTATATTCCGTACACTAAAAGTGCACATTTCAGTTAATACGCTGCCTTAGAAGGTAGCTGTCTGTAGACAGTGCGGCAACTCACTACAGTGTGGAATATCATATCTTTTTATTCCTGTGGGGTCTACTTTACAATGATACTATAGTTTATGTATCAAAACTCATAATTTTGTCATTATTTTGTTTGAGCAGATAGCATAGCAATAGCATCCATGCTGAACCTGTATTATGTGATAAATTCATTAAACAATCCAAGCTGAAATATACCACATAAACTGTTAAATTCAGGCTGACATGATCAATTTCAGCTGGTGTTTATAACACTGGATTCTTCAGAAGGATACCGCAGAATGACAGCATTTGTTCTGGAGTTAAGAATAAGTATCCATATCCATTTATGAATACCAAATAGGCATTGTTGACATGTTAATGTGGGCAGTCATGTGCTTATGTTATTTCAATAAATAGGGCCTAGTCACATGGGAGGATTCGAGTCGGTAAAGTTACAGTATGTTTTGACGGTACAATGATGTCTTTTATCTCAAAAGATCAAGAAAATTGTGATTCCTTATGATAAGACCACTTTAAACATTTAAGCCAGACTGAATCACATCCTCTCATCCTCAAATGGTCCCATAAGCCCTGTTCTGAGCACTTTTACCTTTATCCTGTCCTGCGTTAAAATATTACAATTCAGCCCTGGGAAATAGTATAGGACCCTAAAATATCAATTTGAAGGTCAATATACTTTATGGCCCTCTTAGGAACTGAGCCAGCAGTCCTGTGCTCCCCAATTACGGCCAAAACAGCTTTCAGCTTCCTCTTTCAAGTCCTCTAGAACAGACCCTACAAACACAACTGAGACATACCTTTGACTGGATAGCACGCAGGTTAACCAGATGCATGTCGCAGGGGAAGGAGGCGCTCAGAGGGCTGTAGGGAGTCAAGGATGGGTTGTCCGAGCGCTGATTGACTGCCATTGAGATGAGGGGATGGTTCAGGTACATGTACGACATGTGACTCAATATAGACGGATAGCTATATGGTGCAGTCTCCTCATTCTGGGCCTAAGACAGAAAAGTGATAGCATTAGTGATAGATGATCAGCATTACATTAACATAATTGTAACATATTTGAAACTACACAAGTATGTGAATGCGAACACTCCTGAATTAGTCTTCTACAATGACGATGATGGTTTAGCAGCATTTTCAAGAAAATCTAGCAAAGTAAGTTATTTAAACTATCATCATAAAATACTTATAGTCCCATTAAGTACTGAGGTTTGTCACAGCCACAGTAACACAAGAAAGAACATTAAAGCAAGAATGTACTGCATGGGACTGCATTGACCAACATTTGCGTACTTGCACTGAATAAGTTTCTGGCCTATAAGTAGACAGTAACAGGTTAAGCAACAGGTTATTCTGTCAATCCTACTGGGGGAAAAAACAGGTTAAGGTGGTCAAGCTGGTTATTACAAAATTAGAAACTGGGAGATGGTTTGTTATTGGTCCATGAGCCCACACCATGTTACAACACAGTAGGGCTATTGCAGACAGAAACAATACTGTACTACATCGATGTTTCCTGTCGGCTCAATTTTTGAGTGGACTTTGCTGTTCTGATTCGCATGAATGGTATACGAGTGGAGCGACTGAGCGAAGCACACACACGCATTGAGCGGGATAATACGCAGAGCGTCACACCACGTGAAAGTGAAACCGTGAAAATTAGCGGTGAACTAATTTTCGGCAGCCGAAATTTCGGTGCATCTCTAATTATTGGCGACATCAGAAATGGATATTATATAATAGATGCTT